CAGTATTTTTAACCTTCTGAAATATTGATTCCTTGTTTGTTCCTCTGATCCCGCTCAGGAGGTGCCGTACTCGGAGATCAAGAACGAGGGCAAAGAGGCTGACATCATGATCTTCTTCGCCTCTGGTTTCCACGGTGACAGCTCCCCGTTCGACGGAGAGGGGGGCTTCCTGGCCCACGCTTACTTCCCCGGCGCCGGCATCGGAGGAGACACGCACTTTGACTCCGATGAGCCCTGGACGCTTGGCAACGCCAACCACGACGGTTAGCCGAGTCTTTGTCTCTTTGACCTTGCTGCCGATTGCGCTGAAACATGCTGAGCGATGGTTATGAAACACCAGCTAATGGATTCAATTATCATTTATTTTCTTCACTAACTTTTGCAAATTAAATTCCTCGAATGCAAAGATGTCCTCAGTCGCCGGCGCCGTATCTCTCAGCGCCGCTCTGTTTAGTCACTGGATGAAAAGTGGAGGCGAAAACACCCTTCACTTTGTAGTTTTCTTCTTCTTCTTCTATCTCACTTTGACAAATGACTTGTGCCAGATTCCCTCTGCTTGAATAACTAACGTGTTGACAGAGAGAGAGCGAGACGCGGGGAGGGCGCACTGATAGAGCGGGAGAAGGAATCTGGTTTGAAAGATTAGCACAAACGAGAATTAGCTCTGACAGAGAAGCTCTGAGTCTGCGTTCCCACATTACAGCCCGAGTTTCTTTTTTTCTATTCCAGGCTGAAATAAGCATCCAAGGACACGTCCACGCTTTCATTTTAATGAAGACTTTTATTCAGACGCGCGTATAAACATAGCAAACCACGTATCCTCCTCCTGCAGGCGCCGTTTCTGCAGACAGCAGGGGTCCGAATATCAAACGATTAAACATAAAGAATAGATGGGAGGCGGCTGTGGCTCAGGTGGAAGAGCGGATCAATTGCGAGGTTTGTGGTTTGATCCTCAGCTCGACCTGTTTATAAGATATTGATCCAGAACAGCTGCCCCTGATGCACGAAACAGCTAAACAAACCAAGTCTATTTAAATGTTTTAGAAGCTGTCCAGCATTCAAAGAAAATGGCTTTTTACTTTATCTTAGATTACAGTGTTATAGCATGTGGCATTACCCACAGACTGCATATGAAAGATGGGTTATTGTGGGGGTGTTGGCATTATCTGCTCAGGTTCCCTAACTCGATTAGTTTCACAGTGAAATTAGCATTTTGTATCAGGCTGAAAACATATTTCTGAGGTAGGTTTGGACATTTTTACATGGAAGTCTGTGGAAACTGACACTCAGGAGCCGTCAGCCTCAACTGGACATTAGAGAAACTGCTCGGATTCAGTTACGAGCCTGCACTGAAATCGTATCATATATCTTTAAATTCAGAAAAACATCAAAGAAACTCAAAAGTGCACCAAAGGAAATAAAGTCAGACAAAGAAACAAAATGAGTTC